AGTTCCTCATTTGTCGCTGAGGATATGACAAGAGGGAAATGCTCTGCGACATTCAAGAAGAATAGATCCAGGCATCGTTCAACTGGGTGAGCAGGAATTTGTCCAATATCGCTTGGCTTAATGCTTCGCAGGAAGTTCTCAGCGAGGACGGGGTATTGTGAAAGGATGTCTATGGCTGCCAACAGCACGAACGTCTGTTGAGACGAGGCATTCTGGCCAAGCCGAGAAGAGATGAAATACATGTTGCGAAGTATGTGGAGGCATTGCATCGATAAATATGGGGCGCCTGGAAGAAACATAGTTAGTACAGAGCAAACATCATGGCTCGTTCGTAACTTACTACTGTTGGCAGCAAGAGCTGGGTCGTTGATAGTTCTTCCCAGCACAGCCCGAAGGGCAATAATTACTGAATATAAGCAATTTCGCAACATCTTCCAGAGGGCAGGAAGTGTGATTTCCCGGGATTCAGCATCCAGAAACTCTGCTTCTTCCGCAACATCAATCTCAGACAATTTATTCTGCCGCCATTGAACCATGAGCGTCCGAACGAAGTCCGCCAGGTAATCAACAGTCTGCGCAACAATCCTCGGATCCCGAACATTATCAACGGAATGCGCGATGAGACGAGACAAGGGCCCCAGAGTGGACACAAGCGGGCGAGCAGCTATTGCTGAGACGGTACCAAACGTGGGGGAGTTGGATGACCAGCGGAACTGCTTCCCGGGAGCCTCAACAACATCTTGATCAATAGAACCCAAGAAATAGCCACCCTCAAGGCCTTCCGAAGATAAGTATGCCGACTGAATCAGTGTCGGGAGTAAGCGATCGTAATCCAGCTTGCTTCTCTCGAGATCAGACAGAAGCTCAAAGGTATAGTTCAAGACCATGGTGATGCACTGTCCATCAATGCCAGTCTCGGGGCCAACCTCCTCCAGCGCTAATTGCGCCGCTCTCGCAAGCGCCGACTCGAGTTTCACTCGAATGTGCCGTGGTAAGCCCCGTCGGTTTTGTCCCTCGAATCCCATCAAGATTCCGCCCAGCAGAAGCGTATGCCTCCACCGCGGGGACTTATCATCGGCGCCCTCAGCGACCGCTCTAACCCACGCCTCATATTCAATCTTCCTATTCCGCCCGTACGGTATCCGGGGTTCGTCGGTAGTATCATTCTGCAAGACTGCGATGGCGGCGGTGTTGAAGACGCTGAGGATCTTGCGACATGATTGGAGGTCAACGGGGTGGCTCCAGAGCGAAGGTGCGGTGAGGAGTTGTGATGAAAGAATTGTCAGATTCAGAGGATTTCCCAACATTGACAGGAAACTGGTAGCCGTGGGAAGAAGACTGAATCGGCCTGTCGTTAGCCTGCCATTGACCTCCCCGATCCCATTAGAGTATTTGGCACTTACGAAGCGGCATCTTGGAAGCTGGAAGTCGCTTGCAGCGACCGCAGCAGTGTAGCCAGAGAACGTTCCGTGGCCATTTCGAGACTGAAGGTGATAGGGATGCTCCCAGACAAGCGGCTCTACATCGCCCAGGAGTTGAGATGATCAACCGCGGAGAAGCCGAGGTCCGGCTCCAGAGCCAAATACGGGGCGTCCATAGTGTTGACCAATGACGCATAGCCAAACAGTGCAAACAAGCATCGTCATCTCCGAGGGTCTCCCTCCAGACTTACCCTTTTTTGTTGATACGCGTGCAATACGTCTCTAGTGACTGTCCTCCGTTCACGTGTCATGCTTCGATGATTGATCTTCGCTGCAGCTGAACCAGCGCAGCTACCTCTCCATGGCCAACAATCGCGTCCCGATTAACTACGAAGTGCCTTCGTTTCCGTCGTTGTACGATCCCCTACCGGCGAATCACCAACAGGCATACTACCTATACTACACGAAAGACATCTGGCGCTTCACACTTTTCTGGACGCTGATATTCTACGGCGCGACACATCTCACTGTTGCTGGGTGCGCAGTACTAACTCATTTCCGTAACTGGAATGTGATATGGATTGTGCCGTTGGTGTACATTTTTATTGCAGCGCTGGAGTCGCTTTTAGCGGGAAGTATAATTGGAGTTGTGTAAGTTGATTGCTCGACACTTGACTCGCCCAGAATGATTAGGTAGCTGACACTTCTACGATGGATAGCCTCGGCGCGGTGTATGAAGCAGGCAATTTCAGGATGTCCACTTGGCTACCGATGATTTGGGGTGGTGTCAATGTTATGGTTCTTATTGTCACCAGCTTCCCCATGCAAGGTGGCCTTTGAATGGTATTCCAGCTGCTACTACCTTCGATCATACTACGACATGTACGGCAACTACGGATTCGGAATATGTCCAATCATGTCCAACCAACCTACGCAGAGTCTCATCGACAATATCCAGGAGACTTCGAAATGCCCGAAAATTTCCTATGATACAAATGGGATTTGATATTTCAAATAACGCCGTCGCCACGCATCAAAGTAGCTATGCTATGTCCTTTGCGCCAATGCCAAGCCGATTCAACGTGCATTTCAAACCAGGTGTCCATTTTTCATCACTGTCTCCGATTTCCGTCAGGCGTACCACTGCCTTGCAAACCAGGCAGTCCACCGAATCCACCAGGGAAGCCAGGGTTGTTCGCCAAAGCTTGGAGGTTGAGATTTTGTGGCATGGGGAAACCCTGGAGTTGCTTCTGTAATTGTGCGAGATCCATATTCATGGGCGGTGTTCCGGTCATACCCTGCGGCATGGGGAACCCATGCATTCCAGGTGTGGGGGTGCTTGACTGCGATGGAGGGCGCGTAGACATGAGTGCAGCCAAACGCTCTGGATTCATCCCACCCATAGCGGCACCATCCACTCCTGACTGCCGAGGCTGAGCACTGCCAATACCAGGTAGCAATCCTGGAACGTCGGGCTGAGGGCCGGCCGGCGGCGCACTTTGAATACCCGGCAGAGCAGGGCCGCCTGGTCGCCGTTGATCAACCAGGCTGTCGGCTTCGTCCTGCATTTCTTGCTCCTCATCCTCGCGCATTTGTTTCCGGCCAAACCCGCGGTTCCATGTTCCTTGCGCTTCTGCGGCCTCCTCGCCGATGTGGAATCGGTCCTTCAAATAGCTAGTCTCGCCAGGCCGAGTCCGCGACCAGAATCGAGTAAAGTTATCCTTAGATCCAGAAGCCAAGATATGACCCAATGGGTGCCAGTCTAGTGACCAAATTGTAGCACCGTGCGCGTACTGTATCCGATGTGCCGGGTAGATCACCTGTGGTGGAGTATTGGCCGGGTCTGGGCTGTCGTACGGCGCCACGGTGGGAATCTGGCCGGCCGGCAGGTGTGGCTCATCAAGTAGATAATGATAGAGAGAACCATCCTCGGCACCGGTCGAGATAAGGTTACTGTGAATCGGGTGCCATGTCAAAGAAGAAACCGGCTTGTCATGGCCTCGCAGAATGCAAATATCGCGCATCATCCGCAAATCAAATACCCTCGCAGTCTGATCTCGCGACGAAGTAGCAAGGAGGTTGTTGTTTACTCGCGAGAATCGCGTCGATGTGACGGTGTTTTTGTGGCTGTGGAGGGTTGTCAAACAGCGACCAGTGCGCGGATCCCAAAACTTGACCTGGTGGTCCTTCGATCCAGAAACAATCAGACCCTTAGTCGGGTGCCAGTCGCAAGACTTGACATCCCAGTTGTGTCCGGTGAGTGTTGCGTCGGCCGTTCGGGTTGCAAAGTCGAAAATTTTGAGAGTCGTGTCATCGGACGCTGAAAGGAATTTGGTATCACTGGGTGCCCAAGCTAGATCGCGGACTGCGTCGTGGTGCGCATCATCGATCGTCTCGACGTTGTTGAAGTTGGGCCGCCAGTATTTGATATCACCTCTTTGTCCACCAGAGACTAGCCAGTCCTGGCTATGGGCCCATGCTAAGGACGTGACACCAGCTTGTATTTGATCGTAGTGTGCCTGTGTTGAGAGGACGTCTCAGATTAGCAAAAGCAAAACATGTAGAACTTGTAAATACGCACATCCATGACTGTCTCGAAATTAAACGCCGTTCCATTCCAAAGCATAAACTCTCCCGTATGACCGCCGGTCAATAGCCGCCTTCCCTCGGGAGTCCATCGCACGACGACGATGGGTTTCTTTGATTTTCCGATTGACTGGTGAAGGTGTCGGACGGGGATTGTATCGACAGCAGAATAGGGCCGCGCCATCGGGGGAAGAACCTGTCGCAAGTCAATCTATCTTGTCCGCCAGCCCAGAGCAGTTCAAACGACACATACATCGACCGCGAAGCTGGGACTTGGCCGTTCCGTCTCCAATCGATGTCCTCCTTTGTATCTCGGTTGCCGTGTTCGCATCCATTGTACCATTGAAGAGCCATAATCCGTGACGAGACCTGAGAGTAAGAGTTGTCAGTCAGTCAGGATTCAGGCTATGAACAAGCAGAAGCTCAGTCAAATTAACTTTAAAGCGGGCAAACATACGTGGTCTGCGAGGTCCGACTGGACCGTCGAAATTCTTCCCAAATCGCCCTGGACCGTCACCTGCATTGTCGTCGTAGTAGGCCATGGCGACCGGTTGAAAAGATATACAGGATCAAGGCTGTCGGTTTGCGAACATGAGGATTGAAAGGAAATTGAAGTTTCAAACACTGATCGAATACTGAATCGGACCGATCCAACAAAAGCGCAAAATATGCGGAGAGAGTCGAAGCTCTTCGGAGCGCAGGATCCGTCCCTTGAACGCTTGTGACGCTGATTGGCCCCTGCGGGATTTATCTGCAAGCTTGCGCTATGATGTCTCTCTCCCCCCCGCCATGTCCAAGTATTAAACCATCTTGTTTCGCGTGCTTTTGTCTTTTGTCTTCTTCTCCTCTTCTTCTCTTCTCATCTGCCGTAATTGTGCGGCCTGGTTGTTGCTCTACTCTTCGCATTGCTCTCCGTCGGTGCTCCGGTTTAATCGGAGCTCGACCTAAGGACCCTTTGATTTCTCACACTCCCAAGGTTGCCGAGCTGTTAAGATGACTACTCGCACTGGCGCAATTACGAGGGCTCGCGAGGAATCGCAGGTCAATCCAACTAATGGGGCCACCCCGACTGTAACCGAGGTCTCTCCGCCATCAACTTCAACATCTAAGAAACGAAGTAAATATCGCCATGTAGCTGCATACCACTCGGAAGCTCGTCATTCCAGCCTCAGTCGAGAGGCCGACGTGCTTCCCAATTTCTTGGGGTTTCGAAATCTTATGGTGTTGGTACTTGGTAAGGATCACTAGAGCGTTGTATACACAAACGGCTAATGTTCCGACAGTGGCGATGAACCTGCGATTGATTATTGAAAACTTCATGAAGGTGGGCAATCCAAATGTTCAATTACTGTTTCGATGTTGCCAACTAACAAGCATAACTATATAGTATGGTGTGCTAATTTGTATTAAATGCCATGACTACCGCAGGCAAGACGTTATTTTGGGGTCCATATTGTTTGCCTCGGTTCCGTGTCATTTGCTTGTGGCATACATCATTGAGCTTTCAGCCGCTACTGCAGCCAAGCAGACAGTGGGTCGTCAGAAAAAGACAGAGAAAGAGAAAGAACACGACCAGAAGGTCTTCCAGTCCACATGGCCGTACACTGCTTTCCTACACACACTCAATGCTACCCTATGCCTCACAGTAACCAGCTTCGTGGTATATTTCTACATTCACCACCCTGGCATTGGGACAATATGCCAGCTACACGCGATTATCGTGTGGTTGAAGAACTGCTCTTATGCCTTCACAAATCGAGACCTTCGTCTCGCGCTCCTCAATCCCTCCGCAGACCCGGGCTTGCCCGAAATCTACTCCTCATGCCCCTACCCGAGGAATATTACCATCAATAACCTAGCGTACTTTTGGTTGGCGCCGACGCTAGTGTATCAGCCTGTTTATCCGCGCACAGCATCCATCCGGTGGTCATTTGTTGCAAAGCGCCTCGCAGAGTTCGTTGGCCTGGCAGTGTTCATTTGGCTTCTGTCTGCGCAATATGCCGCGCCGGTATTGCGCAACTCGATTGATAAGATCGCAGTAATGGACATTGCCTCCATTTTGGAACGGGTTATGAAGCTGTCCACTATCTCGTTGATCATTTGGCTTGCTGGCTTCTTTGCGTTGTTCCAGGCGCTTCTGAATGCTTTGGCCGAGGTCATGCGGTTTGGAGACCGCGAGTTCTATACCGACTGGTGGAACAGCTCGAGTCTGGGTATGTATTGGCGATCTTGGAACCGGCCTGTCTACCTCTTCATGAAGAGGCATGTCTACTCGCCGCTGGTGGGTCGTGGATGGAGTCCTCTAGCTGCGAGTGGAATGGTTTTCACGCTCTCTGCGATTCTTCACGAAATGCTTGTGGGAATTCCCACACATAATTTCATTGGTATGTCTTGCACCCCTGGTAACAGCTCAAAGACTAATCAAGTCCAGGTGTCGCGTTCTTTGGGATGATGTTCCAGCTGCCGTTGATTTCCCTGACCGCACCATTGGATAATATGCGCGGGCCTGAAGGTCGGGTCATTGGAAACTGCATCTTCTGGGTCAGCTTTTGTCTTGTCGGACAACCGCTTGGAGCGCTCCTGTACTTCTTCGCTTGGCAGGCCAAGTACGGGAGTGTAAGTAGGATGGTGCCGAACGTGTGAGCATGAACTTTTCAAGGAACATTTAGCCATTTTGTGTATCACATTTCTCTTGACATGTCCTGGAACTTCCAGCTCTCATTGAACATCTATTTGTGAAATGCTAGAAAACATCCCTTGGATGACGTCATAATATTGTTGCCTTCTCATTAGTACTATAGGCCTGTCAATTCCATGAGCAATTAGCTTAAACGAAGGTTCTAGAAAAGTCTTCGACCTAAGGTCCTCAAAGGCCAACTATATCACAACGTACTTTGTAGACGAGACACCTTGAGAGTACCCGGATCGGGTGAATCGATTGCACCGACGGGGGCTCGGGGCCTATGACTCCCGAGCGCCCCCAATTGACGTATAAAGGACGCCCAGAATCAGGTGAAATCACAACATAAAGCTACTAACTCACATCATTTCCCCGGATTCTCTTCTCATCATGGTCGCATTCATTGTTCCTGGCAACTACGGGTAAGTTATGCCACTCCTAGCTCAACCTTCAAGCTTCCCGTGAGATTCGAGACTAACACTGTCCCCCCAGTGCCGTCATTGCCGTTGCACTCGGTGCCATCCCCGTCTTGGGCTTCGTTCACGGCTGTATCACTGGTAGCCTGCGCAAGGAGGCCAAGGTGCCTTACCCTCACAGTTATGCCTCTATGGAGCTATGCAAGGAAAATGTGCGTTTCATTCCCCGTCTACCACCCGGCTTTCGCAAGCCCCTGTTTTCAATGGATATATATACATGAAATTCCTATTGAGTATCAAATCACACATACTAAACTGATTATAGGCCAAGGCTGAGAAGTTCAACTGCGCCCAGCGCGCCCACACCAACTTCCTCGAGAATTCCTCGCAGACAATGCTCTTCACCCTAGTCGCCGGTTTGAAGTACCCGGAATTGGCTGCTGGTTTGGGCGCTCTGTGGGTTTTCTTCCGCGTCCTGTTCCTCTACGGCTATGTATACTCGAACAAGCCCCAGGGTAAGGGCCGCATGATAGGCGCGTCCTTCTGGTTGGTGCAGGGTGCTCTTTGGGGATTGAGTATCTATGGCGTTGGACGGCCACTCCTTTCTTTCTAAGCGCTTGAAGCTTGAAATCTTCTAAAATGACTTGGAATTGAAGATATGCTATGTATTTTTATGTCGAATGCAATACAACGTATTATGCGCCACAGTTCCAGCCTCAGAAGATATGTAGCCAGTGGGGGTCCGCTGTGGCAGAAAAAGTTCCCCGATAGTCTTCGCCTCAAACTTGCTTCTATTCTTCTACTTTTGGACCTGAAAAGACAATTGTATTCTAGAAGCATTTGTCGTTTGCTCCATCTTCCTCCTAAAAACTCAAAAGTCACATACCAAATACATAACAACCACTTCTTCACCCCGCCAACCCCACCATGTCGTCCAAGTCGCAATTGACTTACAGCGCCCGCGCTCAATCGCACCCCAATCCTCTTGCGCGCAAGCTTTTCCAAGTCGCTGAAGAAAAGAAGAGCAATGTGACCGTCTCCGCTGACGTGACCACGACAAAGGAGCTCCTGGACCTCGCCGACCGTAAGTGAACCCAGCCCACCCCACCCCTCCAACGAAACAGCCCACTAACCCATCCCCAGGCCTTGGCCCCTACATCGCCGTGATCAAAACCCACATCGACATCCTCTCCGACTTCAGCCAAGAAACAATCGACGGCCTGAACGCCCTAGCCCAAAAGCACAACTTCCTCATCTTCGAAGACCGCAAATTCATCGACATCGGCAACACAGTCCAGAAACAGTACCACAACGGCACCCTCCGCATCTCGGAATGGGCCCACATAATCAACTGCTCCGTCCTTCCTGGCGAGGGCATCGTCCAGGCCCTCGCACAAACCGCCCAGGCCACTGACTTCCCCTACGGCTCCGAGCGCGGCCTCCTCATCCTCGCCGAGATGACCTCCAAGGGATCCCTCGCAACAGGCTCCTACACCTCCGCCTCCGTTGACATCGCGCGCAAGTACCCCAGCTTTGTTCTGGGCTTTGTCTCCACCCGCTCGTTGGGTGAGGTCGAGTCTACTGAGGCGCCCGCCCAGGGCGAGGACTTCGTCGTCTTCACCACTGGTGTCAACCTCTCGTCTAAGGGCGATAAGCTCGGTCAGCAGTACCAGACACCGCAGTCGGCTATTGGCCGCGGTGCCGACTTCATTATCTCTGGTCGTGGTATCTATGCCGCTGCGGACCCTGTTGAGGCTGCTAAGCAGTACCAGCAACAGGGATGGGAGGCGTATCTGGCCCGCGTGGGCGCGCAATAGAGCGTGCAGTCCACGTTCCACTGTAGTTACATGACTGGTGATGCATAATGAAAAAAATATATATATTTGATGGCGTGGTGTATAACGTTTTTCATGGTGGTCCCTTACATCAGCGTTGTTCATGGGTCTTTCCAGTCTCATGTAAGGGCTTTCTTGCATGTACAGACAATGCAAGGGCAAGGTTAAGTCCAACATTCACGTGCTTAACGGCATGTTTCACCTCGTCTTCGGTGAATCATGAGATCAAGAGCGGATCTCTGAATATCTGAATATTTTGGGTAGCTTTGATAAGGAGGCCTTCTTCAAACAACCCGTGGACTGAGGTCATGGTACCAAGAGCAACATCGTACTCTTGTTTCGACTTTGTCGGAACCCACTAATTAGAAGTGTAAGCATCTTGATATGTTGTACACTCGGGCATTGTAATATCCGACCTGTGACGCAAGTCCCCGCACATACAGCCCTATATTATATACCAGCCCGCGGGCATCTACCACGCTTACAGATCAGCCTCCGCCAGACATATGTTTGTCAGCATGAGCGGTTCCATTACCTATATCTATCCAATGGGAGACTTGGTACATATATAACAAGGATATCAGGGAGGCCTGTGGGCCTGCCCGCCGCCGGAGTAATTACATAGTTATACTAAGTAGGCAGACATTATAGGTTCAAGGCCATAAATAATGGTGGTCAAAGCGGACCGAAAAGAGTCTATTTATTTCTGTATCTTCTCTGACTAGCTCCCTAATCCTCAACTTTGTTCTGTCTTCTTTTCGTTTCAGCCGAAGAGATCCCAATTTTAAAAGATGTAGTAGCTTACATCGCAACGCTTCTTTCGTCGACGACATGCCTTGATGGGGGTTATTTGTTTAGCTCCAAATTCGGGAGGGGTAGATATGGTATTGAAACATATTAAACACGTCTGTTTGCGTGGCTTGGTTAGTTGATGGTGGTCTATGGTGAGCTCCGACGCTGGGTGGACACGAGAGAGACGAGGGTGTGAGACCATCGGGGCTGCTGAAAGAATATATATCACCAATGAAATAGCTGGTTTTAATGGGACTAGATACAGCAGAGATACACAGTATATAGATAGGGACTAGAACACCAAGCATAGGTGATTGTCGATGGTAGAAAGTACCTTGTACTTTAGTAACCTTTGCTTTAGCTAACCTGCACGCTTAGTAACAATTCATTCTTGCCTATGCCCGGCCTATCTTGAATCTATGTGCTAATAGATTATCTGGAGAATATGTGATATTCCGGGGAATAAATGTCAAGAAGAGAAAGAGAAAAGAGAAGCGGGGAAAAGATTCCATTGCCGTCTCCAGTGAAGCCTCCACATCCAATAACGGAGAGTAAATATTGTATCTGTGCACAGTATATGTGCAACAGTTACATACTACCACGATTGAGCTGCTAGCACCTACTAGAAGAGGATGACTTACGCTTCTCTTGGTTATAAAGATACCTAAATTGCTTTCGTGCCGATCATTCCCCTCATCCCCCTCTCTCAAATATCCAATGAGACACATCAGAACCCACTAACTCCAGATAAAACGGCTTCTTATCGCGTAGAGACCCACAATTTACTTACCGAGCTGCATGTATTGCGTTGCTTGATAGGAGGAAGTGTTGAGGAGATTCTCACGAGATAACGGTGTGCAGCTAAACCGGCTTCGCTTGGAGGTACAGGGTACCGGATACAGTAACCTACTTGGTCTTAAGTAAGATCGTCCTATACAGCTATCGGACGTGCGGAGTCCTCGACCTTACTCTTTTTACGTTATTTAGCTGTGCCCGCCCGGTTGTTGTTTTTCTTTTGATCTTTTTTATGCATTGCCTTGGTATTGCTTATAGTTGCACCACCGCTAACTTGGCGAGAGCTTAGTTTTGTTCTGTGTGACCTTGTCTGATATTAATTACTCTACTGTCCCATCCTTTTGCGTTCTACTATATAGAACCGACACTATGGCCTCAGAGGAAAAGACTATTGGAATTTCCTCTAGCGTGGACATTGGTATGGACGTGGGCAAAATAAAACATGTTGACTCTACAATTGAGAAGCATGCACATGATGCCGATGAGGCTCTGAAGGCCCTGGATGGTCTCCAGGGTGAAACTATCGAGCTGGACGAGGCTACGAATCGCCGCTTGTTAAGTATTATTGACTGGCATATGATGCCCATCATGTGCTTTATCTACGGCATGAATTATCTGGATAGTATGTGTACTTTTCCTGGATCTTGGTTTTATGCTATACTCTATCAGCTATCTATTCAGCCCAAAATACTAATCCGTGATCCGATGTATAGAAACCACCCTCTCCTATGCCAGTGTTATGGGTCTTAAAACGGACCTGGATCTCGAGGGAGACCAGTATCAGTGGCTCGGGAGTTTGTTCTACTTTGGTATGTCACATCTCTACCTTTCTCCTCTTGAATTAATTCTTCTCCGGGGGCGTTAAACCTAATAACTCTTCCGCATAGGTTATCTGGCTTGGGAATACCCGACCAACCGCCTCCTCCAGCGCCTCCCACTAGCAAAATACTCTGCAGCGTGCATCTTGATCTGGGGATTGATCCTCAGCTGTTTCGCTGCTGTCAATAACTACTCCGGTGCTATCGCGATCCGCTTTATGCTCGGTGTATTCGAAGCCGCTGTGACACCAGGCTTTGCGCTATTAACCTCCCAGGTACAAAACCCATGACTATAAACAAGATACAATGGATCGAGCTAATTGCGAAACAGTGGTACACAAAACAAGAACAAGGCAGCCGCGTCAACATCTGGTTCAGCTTCAACGGCGTGGGCCAGATATTCGGCGGAGTAGTCGCGTACGGCATCGCCGTCGGCGCCGAGAAACACGGGTCCTCCATCGAGCCATGGAAGATTGTCTTCCTCGTCACTGGCCTCCTTACTATCTGTCTGGGAGTGGTGTTCCTCTGGGTTGTGCCAGACAACCAACTCAATGCACGCTGGTTAAATGAGGAAGATCGCATTTTGGCTGTTGCCCGTGTGCGGGTCAACCAGCAAGGCATTGGAAATAAGCATTTCAAGTTATATCAGGTCAAGGAGGCGCTTTTGGATCCGATGACCTGGGCTTTCTTCTTTTATGCTTTGATTGCTGATATTCCGAATGGGGGTATTTCCAATTTCTTTAGTCAGTTGGTATGTTGACGATAGCTTATCAATACTTGAAAGTTCCAAGTATGCTGACCAGTTTATCACAGATTACAAGTTTCGGATACAACGCGAAAGAGAGTCTGATTCTGGGTGTCCCCGGTGGCGCAGTGGAAATCGTTGCCTTGTTGCTCAACGGCTATGTGGGACATATCACCGGGCAGCGCATCCTTGCCAGTTTGGGTGGGCTAGTCGCTGCCATCATAGGAATGCTGCTCATTGTCGCCTTGCCCTTATCGAACAATGTCGGTCGTCTGATTGGCTATTACCTCACACAAGCCAGTCCGACACCTTTTGTGGCATTGCTGTCGCTTATTTCTTCGAATGTTGCGGGATATACTAAGAAGACAACTGTAGCAGCTTTGTATTTGATTGGATATTGTGTTGGAAATATTATCGGTGAGTACTCCGTACTCCGTACAGAAAAAATAAAGAGATAAGGGGTAAAAGAAAATATGGAGAGCACGCTAACACGACATCTAGGCCCACAAACCTTCCGTCCGAAGGATGCCCCCCCGCTATGTCCCCGCCGAGGTGACAGTTATTGTTTGCTGGGGGGTGTGTCTGTTCCTGCTGGTCGGGGTCTGGATGTGGTATCGCCGCGAGAACGAGAAGAAGATTCTTTTCACTGCTCGACCGGAGTATGTGAGACTGGAGAATCAAGAGTGAGTCATTTATGATGTCGACATTTCTTAGCTATTTTGCTAACTTGGGCTAATTTTTTGTAGGTTCCTTGATTTGACTGATCGGGAGAATCCCGAGTTCCTTTATTCTCTTTAAACCAAATTGAAGAGTATTATTATGGACAAATGCATTCCAGGTACTCCGTACTCCGTACTCCGTATTTCTGAGATGAAGGTATTTTTGTGTGTATTTTGTATTTTGTACTCCGTAGATCGTTGAGACTAGGGCTTGGCACCCCAACACACACATGCAGGATGCAATGTCTATCATAGGTTAGCGTATTGCCTTAGTTTAGGGTACATATGTACTTAATTTAGTTTAGTTTAGTTCTGCTTTAGTTTGATTAGTTACTTTAGTTAGTAAAAGTTAGTTAACAAAGTTAGTCGAACCTCGATTTAATCCGAATTCTTTGATCGTCCAAACAGAGTTTCTACATTGACAATGTGACCATGTGGTGAATAGTTGGACCCTTGTCTCTTATTATCTTTATCTTTATCTTTATTATTAGCATTAAATTACCATAGCAGATTTACCCCATACTCTGTTACAATAAAGCCCCTGCATTTGTAACTGCAAGTAACTGCAGGGTACGCGCCTTCATAGGACGATCATGGCTCGACACTCTAGACGCCCCCCCACTCCGCTAAAATAAATGAGGAGCGGTGTGCTCAGATTCAAAATAATAAAAGGAAAGACATTTGCTAGACTTTTATTCTACCATTTTCTTTTCATTTTTTGGTTTCATACTGCCTATCTTCAAGATGAAGTCGACCTCTCGTTTTAATACATTTTAGCCCTAATCTTATCTTTACATGGACTACTGTCAACTGCCCCCTTGATATATACATCTGATCAGGGCACCTGCCTGTTCACGGGTATTTGCCTATGATCAAAGTTTCCCGCTGACGGGAAAATGGCCACGGTCACATGTCTGGCCCTCAAGCCATCTTTGGCTATTTCCAAGTGTGAGCCCACTATCACAGAGCTCCAGGGATGCGAATCACCTATATCCCCTATATCCCCATCTGAGATGGCACCTAAGGTGAAAAGGATCAACCCACCGGGAAATGAGCCTGGCCGTCGAGAATCACAAACATCGACATCTACTTCGATCAGTCACTCTCGCTCAGCATCCCGAAGCACCGTGCGGTCACGACCAAACAGTCGTCGCAGTTCCGTTCACTCACCACGCCGGGTTGTGTCCAACGCTGCTATCGTGCCTGTCACATCACCTCGCAGTTCCATGCAGGACAAGCGCGAGTCACTACTAGCTCTACATCGGGAATCAGTCCGTCTATTCCAAGGCGATGGATCAAACAGGTCCTCAACCGAGACAAGACCTTCTCTACACCGGACAGCATCAGCTACCTATAGATCTCGCCAAGATAGCCGCATATCAACAGAGAAAGGCAGCTCGGCACCCTCGTCACCAATCGCACCTTCATATTCCAGCTTCCGCTTCGAGCCAGAGTCTACTTCACCGACCTCGCCCAGCGCACCACACTTCGTTACATCAAGAGATCGATCAAACACCTTGCCCACCAACTACCACCACCACAGCCCCTCGTCCTCATCCATCCATGTCCCGGCGACAGTAATGGAGTGGACCTCGCCCGATACCCGGCGGCGTGAGTATGAGAAAATCGACCGTGCAAGCAGTGGTGTTCGGGGTCTCTGGCGTCGCGTCGCGCCTCGCTGCTTCCAGTCCCGCCAAACTCGCACCCCGTTCTTTGAGGAGGGTAAGACTGAGCGCGAAGGCAGCGTGCGTCGGTTCCGCATGGATATCCCCGAAGATGAGGAGCCAGAATCGGATTCCCATCAAGGAAAGTCGCAGGCCCAGCTCTTGGATTTCCTGGGCAAGACACCGACCTCAAACTCGAATTCAAATAAAGATTCCCCTGATGGTGCTCGAAAACGTTGGACGTGTCTCCGTTCGAAGTCTTCTCCTCTTTCCTAATACCTAAACTCTTGATCCCGATTTTGGATTTCCCGATATTTATCACTATCACCTTTTCACACAGAGCATAGCACAGGTGCTGCTCTCAAAACTACATTGCCTCAACTACTTTTCCTATGATACCATGATCCCCAAGTGATGATCTGCATTTGCATCCAGTGGTTCCTATCCCGCCGTCCAACATGTCTCTTGTCCGCGGGAAGCTCACTCTCTGGCCTATTCTTATCTCCAGTCCCTTTTGCATTCGTTGCATTGCTCCTGTCGTTTTTTTGACTGAGATACCCTTATTGTTATTGGAACGCTGTAAATAGCCCCATATGGTACATATATACCGGATAATGCCTGGCACTCGAGACCCTTCCCTTTACATTTTAGTGTTCAACTCTTGCCACTTTTTGATCTCAGAGTAAAATCGAGCACGTCCCTAAAAACTCCAGGCCTCCAGGGCTTGAACGGAACATTACATAATCAAGGAGGTGCTGTGGCTTAGTGATTGCCATCTCCAGTTGGGGCCCCGGACCGAGGCTGGGTTACCCAATCGTAAACCGAACCTAACGTTGGGTTGGAGTCTTTGACCCAAAAACCCGACCCAGCCCGGGTTATATTGGGTCATGCGGAAATATAATTGGATCAGGTTGCACTATGCCGCAGTTGGTCTATACAAGGCTAAATGAGCATGGATGGCGCAGTGTGTCCCCCATTCAGAAAAGCCTACGGAGTAGGCATCCGCGATTAATGGGATTCAACTAGAGTGTCTCATTGGCATAGCCTCGTGTATCAACATGGCTTATTATGGTATAGTACTTGCTGATATAAATCTATATATACACTGTTCTATTCCTCTCTGTCTTGCGGAATACAAGGCGTTTTATCTTTCTACCTAACCCCCTTAAGTCTTTTATTCCACATACTTGCCCCGTGGGCTTCACCAGTTAACCCGAAGGACAGGCAACTGTATCACTCCTTCAATCCCTTTTTCTTTTGGTAGTATCCCTCTAACAGTGAATAGAGTCCAATAATATTTGACAATGTCGGGTTTATGCCGCAACTGTCACGGCTGGGGAACCCTACAATGCTCAGTCTGTGCAGGTTCTGGGAGATTATATAGAGTTTGCGGAGCATGTCTGGGTTCTGGGCTTAATAGACTGCGTGAGAGTTGCTATAATTGTAATGGAACCGGGCATACAAAACGGCGTGTTGCCTGCGGCAGTTGTTCGGGTGGTCGGATCCGCTGTTCACAGTGCTGATGGCCCAGAAACAGCCACCATGCGAAGCACGGGCAGTGTACAGTATTCTATTTCTATTCATGGGGCTTTGGGCTATACCCATATTTGGCCGCCCATGGAGTTGTCTCCTTCTAGCCTTGCCTATCTTGGAATACTGTGAACGATGTCCACTTGATATAGGGCGTTTGACTTTTTTTTCACTCTTAATGACATGAGTTTGTAATGAAATTCGTGAGAGAACTTGTAAAATGTGAGGCTTTAGAGGAGATTTAGGTTATTGAACTGACTATACACGACTTTGCCCACCATATTATGATTCTGAAATGGTACTGAGGTCTCAGATATGGGGTATATAGTAGTGATAGTGAGATCGGGAGCCAAAAGAACGGAGTGTTGGAGAAACTAATTAGAAGGGACTTAAGACTTAATATGGATTATAGCCGACCTTGTCAGTCTAATCTACTACGCTTGGCTCTGCCACGTCAGGCTTCATGCTATTAATGAACTACATGTAACCATGTAGGTATTATAGTATAAATGGCCTATTAGGGTTAGTCGTTTCTAGGTATAATCTGTACCTAGGTAGTCCACGGGTGTTACATACATACGGAGTACTGATTGGACCCCTGCACCTGGGCATTGGGTATCACTGAGTAATCAGAGAGCATCTAACCTTCTAAGGCTGGAATGAGCACTCACTGAGTATATCAGTCATTCTGCACGCAACTGCACGATATAACGGATAATATCTGGCATCTGAACCCTTTCGCTTTCGGTTGTACTTCCCTCTTGCCGCCTTTTGAACACCGAGTAAAATCTTGCACGTCCTGAGTATCCTGACGTGATCACTGATCATGATATTTGGAAATCTAGGAACAAAATGCTTTGCTCACTAGGCATGGCCTGATCGTCACCTGAACACCCCGATCCACCCACTGATCATCATCTCTAAGGGTCCTGATTTGCTCACTAGAGATAAATTAAGTTTCCACGTGTATACGGAAAGGGCTCTCAATGCGCTGAAAGCGAGGGGAAAACGTAACTTCGGAGAATAGCGTGCAGGTTCAGACTTGCAAAGAATATAATATCGAACAGAGTTCATCTCCGGCGAAGTACACCAATAAACAACATGCGTTTTGACCTAATAACTAGATTTTGTATCTGGATCAACATCATGAGACTCAACCTCACGCTATACTCGATATTCGCTGTCCCGTGTATCCCAGTTACCCTCTTTAAACATCCTACGGGTTTCTTTTTACCGGATCAGATAGACTCCAAATGCTGCTGCAGAAAGACCGGCCGTGAAAGTCCACTTTCGTCAAGCAAGGATTTGATAGAGGATGTTGGTCTGGCACAATACCTTATCTTGCCGAACCCTCACTGAGTTGGAAAGGTATAGGCGTTTTTTTTTTTATGTTCTCGAATCTGGTGATTAGACATGGCGGTGGACAAGAAGATGAGAACTCAGATTGGGGTGCAGGGTTACACAAAAGATGGACCAGTAAGAAGCAAATGCGAGAGCAGCATATGGGCAACTACAAAAGCGGTGTAGAGCCACGATATAGCCTCCGTTAAATCAGTTCGGGCAGCTCCGGGAAATAGAAGCTGAGCTTCTTCAGTAGACAATGCAGTAAGCACTTAGAGGTGTACAGCGGTTTACTATCTACGTTTCTAGAGAACATAGGTAGTATTCATATCCATATTGACTTATCCAGAGAACCTTGGACATGAGATATAATTTCATGAAACATCAATACGCCAAACCCAAACAGGCCACAATGCACAAGCGCCGGGTATATCAGAACAAAAACCCAAAATGCTTTTTTTTAACCGAGTCGATCACAGAAGATCAAAGTCATCCAGCTTCTCACGGTAACGCAAGATGTTGCGCTTGATCTTACTGGAATCAACCCAAGTAACGAAATCTTCCATGTTGCGGGTAACCAAGAAAGCAGGATCATTGACGACCTCCGTACCAACACGGACATGGCCCTGCTCAATAAAAGTGGTAGCCTAGCAAAAGAAAAAAAAAGTCAGCATTCCATTCCATACACTCAACCCCGAACCAAGTCCCCACTCTGCGACTTACAGCCTTAATAGTCTCAACCATGCCAGAGCGCACCATGAAGACAGCCAATCGGCGACGGCACAGCGCAGAAACTGTAACCTCGCGCTCGACCCTAGACAGACCGGCGCCCTGCTCGCGGGACTGCTTCAGGATTCCCATGCGCCACAGCTTCTCGAGCAGTTCGGATTCGAGCTTCTTGCGCAGCGGGTCCGCATCCGGGTCCAGTTGGGAGAGCTTGTGTGCGAGCTGGCGAAGAGAACCGCAGAGCGCATTGTATTTACGGTAGTCCATTGGGTCTTGGAGGAGGTATCTTTGGCGGATTTCATGTTCGCGGTGGTTGCCGTCCGACTTGTAGTTGTGGAAGTCGACCTTCCGGAGAAGCCTGCAGGGGTTTTATTGTTAGCAATTGATCTTTGTAGTATGGTCAAGCTTTGAAGATATTGGATGGGATCGGGTTGAGATTTCTGCGGGGCGAATTGTAGGTGCGGACGTACTTCTTCTCGTGGTGCTTGAGTTCACGGACCATTATGGCGGTTGTTTCGGCTGGGTGATATTAAACCGAAAAATATATCGAGAATGACTGAGCAGAGCGAAGACGTTGTCTCTTGAGAAGAGTCGTTGCGATAACAAAAAAATCAAGGCGGTCTATTTCTGCCGGGTAGATCTCGCACACCGCCTGCCTTTCCCCATCCACCAACATCTCCCCACAGCTACTTCTTATCAACATTGGTTGATCTGAATTAGGAAAATGGAAAATACAGCTGATACGCCAAGTAAGGTGACAGGTCGCCCTCGGGTGGACATCGACCCGTACAAAGCCGAAATCATTGGCCTGTTCGAAAAGAAAATGAAGAATGACGACATTTGCAAGCACCTAAAGAGGCAGCATGATATTCAGATCTCGCCGCGTACTCTAAGCAAACGCCTCCAGGTATGGGGCGTCAAAAAAGTCAAGGAAAACAATTCCTCCAATCCAGCGCTACACGCCCGCATCAAAAACCTTTTTTTCGACGTGGGTCTGACCGACCAAGAGATCGTCACCGTTCTACATGACGAGGGCTACGATGTCTCCAACCGTACGCTCCGCAGACTCCGTCACCGGCTCGGCATCCGCCTCCGCCTTGACTCGCCTACACAACAGCAAGCCCAGGTCCAGGAGATCCTCGACGCTCTGACCGAGGAAATGGACAAGGGAACCATTGAGGGATATGGGAAGGAACTACTGCACAACCACTTCCGAAGCAAGGGGTACGTCTTTGCCCGAGATCGTCTCTACAGTGTCTACCGCATGTTGCGCCCAGATACAGTGGAACGCCGCACGAGCGATGTACCTCGGCGTCCTCCCCCGCCAAAGATTCTAGCCGGCCCTAATCTGACTTGGCACGTGAATGGGTACTCAAAGCTGGCCAATTTCGGGTTCCGCATTCATGCTGAACTCGATGCGTATTCTCGATATGTCCTCTGGATTCATGTTGGTGTGGATGCTCACACGGCTGCGGGCGTTCTGAAAAACCACCTTGAGACTGTTGCTTCTAAAAATCGCCAGCCACGCACTCTTCGATCTGACCTTGAGTCCGAGGTTCCTCTTCTAGCCGATGCTCACTTTGCGCTCCGTCGCGTCACTGAACCGGATGTCCAGCGTGAGCAGTGCTGTGCACCTGGACGGGCCACAGATACCCACCGGATTGAATCCTGGTGGGCCC